GATATAGGAAGGAGAAGATGGGCTGTTCATCAGGCTGGTTTTACAGTTTGCATGCAAGTGTAGAGTACAGATATGAATTATGAATTTTATTGTGCTTATCTTTTGATAAATAAAGTTAGAAGAAAACAGCATAAAGAACATCCTGTTGGGCCAGTGATGTGGAAATCATTTGATGAAAACAAATCCATCCTGCCCGAACAGAATTGCTCTTACAGTTTCTTGAAAGAGATTTTACTTTCTTTAAATGTAGAGTCTGAAATTTACCAGAGAGGTTTGATTTTTATCAAGCTGTCAGGATCAGACTGTGTACGAAGCATAATAAAAAATTGGCCATGCATCAATAATTCCTGCTTGTGTCTGTTTACATCCTCCTATCCATACATTTTGGGGGTTAGTAAAAATTGGTTTAATAATAGATGCTGTCATGCAGAGAACCTGTGCATTAAGATTCAAAGCTCCACCTTGTTAAAGTTGTCAAAAATCCAAAGAACATCACTGATAATAACACAACATAAAGCAAAACCACATAATATGGAGCTAGACCGTTCTCAATTCTCACAAATACACATATGTGATTCATACATGCACATGAGAAGTACCAGACATGCACAGAACGATTCACACCATCACAAAAAAATCCACACATGCACAGAACGATGGACGCAAGCACACAAGATCTGCGGGGATCTGGAGGTCCTCCTACATGGAGTACTTTCTTATGATTGACTTATACAAGGGAGCTTTGTGATTGGTGGCAAACCATCCCCTGCTTAAAAAAATGCATTTGTGTATCTAGGCACGTCAGGGGAGTCTCAAACATCCACACACAAATGCAGGTCTTGCAGACAAGATACCACGGGAAGTAGTGTCTTGAAGCCTTTGACTAACAGTTACCACTTACCCCACGTAACGCAAACAGAGAAGAAGCCTCCGCCACTATCCCACCACCAGCCATCAACTTAACTTATGGATGACGAGTTGTCAGTCAAACGCTTCCAGAAACTACTTCCCATGTGAATTTGTCTGCAAGCTCCAATCAGGAGAATTGCTTACAGAAGCGGTTTGCCTCCACCAAATATGTCAACACATATTTTGTTTGGCGCAGGGAGAAAATCAGTCCGAGGGCAGAGATGCTTTTGAGAGCGCAGCACTGCTCAAGCATGGCCCCTGGATAGAAAATCATGCACAGGCATGATACCGAGCGCATGTGGAAATGTGGCAGTTTCTCGCACAACAAAATGTGTTATTTTGTTGTGCGGTGGCATATAAACCATGTGCAGAAGTAGTTTAACATATATGCAAGTATGTTTATTTAGCTCGAGGGGCATTTGGAAATAACTGTGATGCCATTAAATAGTGTAATTATCTCCTGCACTGACATTGACTGTGAGGCCAATCGGAGAGGAAGAAGCCATCAATTCTAATGGAACATGAAAATTGTCAACGTACCCAGGGTAAAATATGTTAAAACTATAGCCAAAGTGTTTAGCCTTGATGGCCCTTGATTAACTTTGAAGGATAACAATAGAAAATGCAAACAAGAATACCAATCCAAGCGTAACCTATTAGGGTGGAAGCGTTAGTTTGGAAGCATCAGATGGCAACTAAAGAACATTCTCGGAAAGCGCGACGAATCATCCTGGGTGCCGGCTTTTTGTTGAGTCACTGATGGGGATTCTGCCTCTACAAGTTTCAAACACACTTATTGAATAAGCATTGATGCTTGTTAGTGAGGAACCGAAAACTGCTTAGTAGGACAAATTATTGCAGTGAAATATTGAAGCACAACAAGTAGGGTGAATGAAAAAATAGGGCCATGAATAAAACTACATTCAAAACCAGTTTTAATTCTTATGACCATTTAATTGAAGGGATTTTAATCTGGGCTGCTCAGTGGAGCAGTGCGTAGCACTGCTACCTTGCAGCAAGAAGGTTCTGGGTTTGATTCCAGGCCCGGCGTCTTTCTGCATGGAGGTTGCATGTTCTCCGTGAGCATGCGTGGGTTCTCTCCGGGTACTCCGGCTTCCTCCCACAGTCCAAAAACATGACTGTTAGGTTAATTGGCGTCTCTAGATTTTCCTTAGGTGTGTGTGTGTGAAGGGTTGTATGTCATGTTTGTCTCTGTGTTGCCCTGCAATGGACTGGCGACCTGTCCAGGGTCTACACTGCCTCTTGCCCATTGACTGCTGGAGATAGGCACCAGCACCCCTTGCGACCCCAATTGGGACAAGCGTGTCAGATTATGGATGGATGGATTTTAAACTATCCTTTGTAATCCTACTTTTTTTGAGTAGTAGTTTGATAAAATAAACGTTTTATGACAAATAACTAAATAATTACTTCTTCAGAGCATCTTTAAAGTTCTTTATCATTGAGCCAAGTGTCTTGTTTTTTTTAACTATGATCATCTTATTGTTGGATATAGATAATGAAATGGTGGAATCAGTGGTTTTTGTTTTTATAGACTTCAGGTTTCCCAACATGAGAATCCAGGAATGACGAAGCTATTTGTTTTATTTACTTAAATTTATCCTGTTTTCCTTTTGGTTGATCTTATTCTCATCATGATTGGTTTGCTTTTTGAACCAATCTGACTGCATGCTCTGGTGTTATTGTATCTGTAAAGTGCCTTGAGGTGAAAAGTATTGTGAACTGGCATTATAGAAATAAACTAAATAGAATTTTTTTTATGTGTACTGCTGCTTAGGGTCAAACTTTTACCATTTCACCATGGAATTCAGCACCGTTTTTACCAAAAGAGAACATTTTGCTGGTAGTTTTTTGCCTGTTTGTTTTTTCTAACACTTCAGCACTATGGTGTGAACTGAGTTTGGGTTCAGGTTAGGGTCAGGTATGCACTGGTAATGGTTATGTTTAGGATTATTATCACAATCAGCATTAAAAGGATTGAAAATGACTAAAAATCAACAGAAATCAATGAAACTCAACATACAGCCCTGAGAATGTGTGTGTGTGAGAGAGAGAGGATGTTAGTCAGTTGTCTTGGTCAGACCACTCCTCCAGAGGTGAAGCAGCTGTGATGATGGATGGATACTCAGATAAAGGCGCTGCAGCAGAGAAGCTCACAGCGATATCCTGCTTTTAAACCTTAAAGTGGTTCTTAAAGGAAAGAAGTCCCCTCGGTTCGGCATTGACCATCATGATCTTTAAAGCTTTCTTCAATGGTAAGTAAAAGTCTCCATTTGATATTTCTCTTTGGAATAGAAAATTCAAGTGCAATACCCAGACTATAAAACTTGCTATGCTGTCATAAGGCATGCATAATATAGTTTGTCGACTTCTGAAGAAGACATATTTGTATGTGAAGCCGTCACTAATGATCCCTTCATGCTTTGTGCACAAATGTACCAATAACACTTAAGAGTGTGAACCTTTAAACCAAGCCTGTTTTGCTTCATGCAATCTTAGTACGATTTGTTCCCCAGCTGCATGCATCATTCAATAAATAACAGAAATCATGCATGCATCAATATAAATATGTTTATTACATAATTATCTAACCCAGGGTTGGTTCTCGCATGAGTGGTGCTCTAAGCAGGACCTTCTTCTGCTGCCCCAGCTCGACACACACCCACTCCTCCAGAAAAAAAGCCAGGCCTCCACAACAGTATTACATAACCTTAAACAGAAGAAACTATAACATATGTAAGTTACTTGAAGAAGATAATAGCTAGATGGAAGGACAGACAGACCATCACAAAACAAAAACATCCCACCAACGTCTTTAGATGGGCGACATGGAGGATATCATGTAAAACTATATAAAATTATAAATTAGGTACCTAGCATAAATTATTTATGTTTTTTTTTTAAATAAAACTCTCTATTATTGAAGTGTTTTCTACTGATCTCTAGAAAAATAAACCCAATTTGAGAAAAAATGAATTCTCCAAATCTCTGCACAGTGTATAGCCAAAGTTAGAGGCAGATTAATTTGCAGTAGATCTAAAACTAACACTTGCACCAAGAGAGTACAGAAGTTAAACATTTTAAATGAGCAAAGCACTCCAGGAAAAGAAACTAGCAATGAGTTGCATAGAGGTGGAAGTGACATAGTTTGGAGTTGCAGCAGAGTCCGGTCAATTCACCATTATCCTTTTGAGATGCTGGATGTGACTTGAAAGGGGTTGTACAGCATATCATAGCTGAGAGTGAAGAGTGGGCAGGGGGGATTTACCATTAAGCAATACCAGGTATTTGCCTAGGATCAGTCCATTTGCTGGACATGTTCAGAAAGGTCCAAGCAGACAGCAGGAAACCATTTGTAAACAAACGATGCGAAGAGCAGTGATGCCAACTTAGCGCTTTTTCTCTATATTTAGCGACTTTTCAGACCCCTATAGCGCTTTCTTTCAAAAAAGCACCTGGTGACTTTTTCTGCTACTCGAGACTTTGGCGTCAACATCTAAAAGCAGCAAACTCTGCTCTCCAGAGCAAGTAGATTAGTAACCCCGCCTCCTGCTCTCCTCTATCTTGTCTGCTGTCATGATTCATGCAGCTATTATTTCAAACAAATGAAAAATGGAGAACAGATAATCAGATCATGGTTTGTCTACAGTGAAAAAAGGACTGGGTGATTTACTTTTTCCATCACCATTTTAGAAACACAGGAAGGAGCAATCAGCTAAGTGAGCTTAGTACTTGGAAAAAATCTTTCATTCCTTTTGAGACATCATGAAAAGTCAGCTGAGTACAAAACATAGAGAGGAAAACAACAAGAAAAAGGACAAGAAGAGAGGGACAAAACCTAGAATACCGTAAATTCTCTAATATAGGCCCGGGCCTTTATTTCACTCAAGTGCATCGCGGTCCAGGCCTTTATTGGATAGAGGCCAGTATTAGAGACAGGCCTCTATTGCTATTTGAGCAAAACAGACTACCAGTGGAATGAATAAAAATGAGATTTTGTGTCTATTTGAACCTATAAAACACTAGGTTCATTTATTGAAAAAGTACAGTTACCATGTCTCGCTTGGTTTGAAGTAAAAAAAAAAATAAAAATCCTCCAATTCTGTTTAATTCTCCTCCTCAGTTTCCTCCTCCTCTTCATCTCTCCCTTTATTCTCCTCATCACTCGCGCTGCTCCTCTTGTTCTGCTGCGAGTCTGTTCTCTTCCTCGCGCAGACGGGCAGCAGTCAGGGCCTGTCGTTCAGCTGCGCAGGGCTGTGGTACTTGTATGTTACTACCACAAGTATAATGTTGAGGTATGCCCAGAAAAAACGTTTATAGCCCCGGCCTGTATTAGAGACCGGCCATTATTTACCTCCTCTGACAGCGAGACCGGCCAATGTTAGAGACCCGGCCGCTATTGGAATACAGGCCAATATTAGAGAATTTACGGTAAATACTGTATGTCTATTCTATTAAAATTTCTGTATCTGTATAATGGGTTAGGGTTCTCTTATCAGTTCAGAGGGCCCCCTGCCTGTTTTTGCCTAGGGCCCCAAATTATCTAAATCCGCCCCTGAGAGTGGGACAATAATTAGTCACTGAAGTTTTTTCAACCAAAAGGGTTTGGGTTCCTATTTTTTTTTTTTTAAGCATTTGTCAAATGAATAAAGGAAAATTAATCTTTTCTGTCTAAATTTAATCAGATCATTTCTTTTTCAGACATGAATAAAACAATTATTTATTTATTTATTTTAGTGTGAAAAGTTCCACATGCAAACAGAGTAGCACCACTTTTAAGACTTTGCTCCAGCAGAATCTTTTTTGAATGTGTGTTTTCTATGACTTTTTCAGGAACCCTTTTAAATGCAACTACGTAACAGTCTTTTTTTCATCTCTCAGCATAGATTTTTTTTTTTTTTTTGCCTTTCAAGTTACTTACAGCACTATAACATTGAATTATTATTCATGCTCTGTTCCTTCCATTTTATAAGCATGGCTGCACAATCTTTCCATTCATTTAGTAGCTATGCTTAAGTAATGTATATAAAAACTGTCATCGTTGATGACCGTTGTTAATTAGGTCCCTAATGTGCTGAATGTGATTATCCCATAGTGTTCCACTTTGGTTCTTTTAGCTCACTACAGATGAATAGTCTTTTATTTCATATAACTTCCTCATCAGGTCTCATCGTTAATAGTTATTTATGGGATCTTAGAAGATTTGTGTGAGAAATCTGTGCCTACTTCATGACTTTTTACTCTGCAATCATCACTTGCGTTTTTTCCTTTTTATTACCAGAGCTGATAGAGTGGCAAAATGCATCCAGAAGCTGCAGAAAATGAATATCTTTCCATTCCAGTCTGCAGTTACCATGCATGACCTCCAAGCTAATGCCACCTGCAACTCCTCCTTGGCCCCTTCCAACTGGACGGCCGGGGAGGACGTCCCTCAGCTTCCCACCTTCACCACAGCAGCCAAAGTCAGAGTCATCATCACCTTCATCCTCTGCGGCACATCAGCCTTCTGCAACCTGGCTGTGCTGTGGGCGGCTCACAGGGACGGGAAACGGAAATCCCACGTCAAGGTTCTGATTGTTAACCTGACCGTAGCTGACCTGCTGGTGACCTTCATAGTGATGCCTGTGGATGCTGCATGGAACATCACAGTCCAGTGGCTTGCTGGAGACTTCCTGTGCAGGCTGCTGATGTTTCTGAAGCTGCTGGCGATGTACTCCTGCGCTTTTGTCACCGTGGTGATCAGTCTGGACAGGCAGTCCGCCATCCTCAACCCTTTGGCAATCAACAAGGCCCAGATGAGAAACAAGATCATGCTCGCCGTGGCGTGGAGCATGAGTGCTTTGCTTTCAATCCCTCAGGTAAGGTCAGTCATGCTCAGAGGACAACCTGACCAAAGGTCCTGAGCCGATATTAATACAGATATACTTATTTCTCTTTTCTTTAATTTTTTTGTCCTGTTTTGCCAGTATAGCTCTGGGAATCAATGACCCACAGCTAGTTGATAGCTCAACAGCTTTGCTTTTACAAACAGACTATTATGGCTGTTGCCATAAGGTACCGCTTGATACATATGCCTAAAACTGTATTGAAAATAATTCAGTTAGTAAAATCTGAGACGGAAAAGGGAGTTGATAAAGAAAGAGGATAAAGAACTAAGTGGAAAGAGAAAGAGATAGAGGCAGGAAATAGTGCATGAAAAAGGAGAAAATAAAACATACATATGAGATGAAGGGAACAGAAAACAGAGAACACAACAACAGCAAAAAGAAGACAACAGACAACCAAAGTAAACATAAGAAAAAGCATCTAGAGCAGCGAGTATCCCTTAGATATTCATGTGTCTGGAACACAAAACCTATGGTGATTACACAGTATTATTCAGGGTGGTATATATCTGAAGCTGCAGCTTAGTATTATCCATGGTCACCTGGAGCAGGTTTGTCTTTATGAGAATGTTACCATGATGACTAGCCTCACAAAGAATGAATCCAGCTTTGTGGTACAGGAAAGTCAGAGTTAAAGCTGAGCAGAGATGGCAAAAGTACTCCCTTTCCGTACTTGAGTAAAAGTACAGATACTTGTGTTAAAAAATACTCTGGTAAAAGTGGAAGTACTGATTAAACTTCTTTACTCAAGTAAAAGTAACAAAGTACAGGCTTGTAAATTTACTTAAAGTATAAAAGTAAAAGTAGAAACCACTTTTTTCATGCCGTTGCCTACATTTTAAATGGATGTCTGCCAATAGGACTAGATCTCCGTTGTGTTCATTTTCAATCATCTCGTCGTCCATGCTACTATGCTAACGCCACCGCCACCAAGCTGCAATGATTTGCCGCCAATGAATACCGCCGAATCTGTCGATTCATCTTGTATTGGTGCGTCAAATGCAACATACTGACTGGGAAGTTTTATTGCCGAATACGGAATGTATACTGAAGCTGTCGCAGTGGATACCTTCAGAGTTTGCTACGCTGGTGAGTAAGTAAAGTTTTGAATGAAAGGTGACGTTGTAATTTCGGAACTAGTGTAAATTACCGGGTGAATTGTTTGGAACTGCCGCCACCATGACGGCCGGTCTGTGGTGCATGCTGGGAAATGTAGTGAAGGATGTGACGCTGTGTGTGATAGACGGCGGCGGCTACACTTTGGGAACAGAGGGGGAAAACGGCTCCGTTTTCACAGTATCGATGACGTGAAAACTGGTAACTGAAATGATTCAAAACTAAAGTAACGAGCCAATTTTTAAAAATGTAAGGAGTAGAAAGTACAGATATTTGTGTAAAAATGTAAGGAGTAGAAGTAAAAAGTCGCCATACAAATAAGTAGTAAAGTAAAGTAAAAATATCAGAAAAAATCTACTTGAGTACAGTAACGAAGTATTTGTACTTCTTTACTTCCCATCTCTGAAGCTGAGCTTGTCTCGCTACCCCAGTAATCCTGCTTCCTGGTACAGACCTATAGGCTTTGTGGCTCACTTAAAATACTAAATTCTATCTTATCCGTGTCTGTTATTCTTTTCTTCTGTGCCCCATGACTAAATATTGACCCCACCCTGCCCCCCTTTTAAATTTTATCAAGAACCACCACCGGCCATTCTAACAAATAAATGTGCTGTATGTCTAAAGTGGGAGGATATCCTCGCCACTCCTTTCAAGGCTCTCACAATTTCTTTCAACACAAAACTGTCTTAATCTGGTGCTCACGATCAAAGTTCAGATGGTTGTTAGGAAGCAGCAGGTTGAGTTTAATAATTTACTAAAACAAAACAAGCATACAGACACGAAATAAAACAGAAAACTAGATGAGAACTAATAACAAACTGAAGCCTTAAATGATGAGGGGAACAGGTGCACGCAATGTCTAAAATCAGAATACACAGGTGAATGTAATATACTAGTTAGCTGAATGCTCTGCCTGTAGTAGCAATGATAAAATGGGAAGACAGGTGGAAAAACAAATAAAAAAAACAACAGAACCTCTCCAATGATAAAGAGGAAATAACTGAGAAAGCAATGGCAAGACTAAATACTAAGGTCAAGAAAATAAACTAGAAAACACCTTGCAAAGCGAGTATAACAAACAAATACAGCAAACTCAAAATGTCAAAAATGACAGAATATGACCAAACATGTAGAACATGCTAAACAATAAGAGGCTGATTTGAAACAAACCAAAATAATAATGCCTACTGATCATGGCAAACACTGTATTTAGCTAAACTCTGGTTTAAACAAGGTTTGTCAAAGAAAATCCCACCCCACAGCATGATATTACCTCCACTGTATTTTACTATAGGGATGGTGTTTCAAGGTAATACCAAAAAATTCATATTTTCAAAATTCAGTTTGATCCAAAGAAGTTTCTTTGTTTAAATGTTTTTTTGCATCTCTTTCATACCTAAACTTCTTAGGGCTTCTCTAAGAACTCTTTAAATGAAAGCCGAATTGCCCCGCAGCTGACTATCAGTTATCAGATTAAAAGGGGTAAATACACATTTAAACCACATCTTTCACATCTTTTTTTGCAAAAAAAAATAAAAAGCTTGTAAAATCATGTTGTCTTGTCTTCTGGCTTTTGTGTTTTTCGTGCACTAAAATCGGACAATAAAGTTAAATTAAATAAAACTGAAGATTTCTGTTTTTAAAACTGAAAAGTTAAGGAGGATGAGATCCCTATAGGCATCAAAAAGTAAAAAAAAAAACAAAAAAACAACCTTGGACCAGGTGTTAAAAAATATCTAGAGGATCCACAGAAACAAGCATCTCTTGCTCCAGTTAACATGCAAAATGTCAAGATAACAGAATAAACACCCCAAAGCTTTGCAAAGATGGGTCTAAGAAAAAAAACATTCCTCTGGGCAGATGTCAGAAAAATAAAAATATTTGGTCATAATATCTCAACAGCATATAAACTCATATATATCATTTAAAGTAAACAAGGGTCAAGATGGTTTATTGAATTGGTTTAGGTGTGATGTATCAGACCTTTATGGGTTGCTCTGGTTTTCCATAATTCACATATTGGTGAAACAAACACTCAAACCCTAAATGCTTAGGAGACATAAAATACAAGGAATTAACAGATTTATTTATTTTATTTTATTTCTTTACACAAGGACACATTGTAATCATGCAATTCCATGCATCTTATTGGGACTTTGTACAGAAAATATTTCATTAATGTGCAGCCAAAGGAAAATAATGCAATTTTATGTAAAAACCTTCAACAATAAAACTTTGTGTAGCTTATATGTTGTCATTCTGATAAAACAAAGGCTCCTAACAGGTGTGCAGATAGTCGAAAAAGGTATATCTGTGTGTTTCATCTTAATTTAAACCCATTTGCTCTGTGAAGGCTGACATCAGTGAACAAACAGGAGGAATTCTCTGGAGGAGCTGCAGGGAGCTGCATCTCAGGGTGTATCTGTGGATATGAATTTTGAACACAACAGATCAACCTCCATGGGGAATGACAAGAAAAGAGCTGTTGTTGAAAGAAAAAACCCAGACAGGGCATGGAGGAAAAGCTTGAGGAAAGCTATCACTAAATATCACCTTGAGTGGATCAAGTCCACGGTAACACATAGTGGTGGCAGCATGATGATGTGGGGATTCTGCTGTCCAGTATGACAGGATTAATACATTTACATATTGGCAACCTTTAGGAAAATAAGTGAACCATACTTTTCGTTTGAATAATGAACTTGCTGTGACTTTTGGAGTTCAAGTGAACATAAATTAAGTCTTCTGTGTCACTTTGGACCATTCTATTCTCTAGATATTATCTGTGTTAGATTCACAGGCTTTATGTTGTGATAATCTTTGCAAATATTTCTCTTGGGTCTGAGTTTTTTGAGTTTGTCATGCTGTCAATTGTTTTAGTCATTTTTTTTTATTTTCTGCCTCTAAAATACAAGTATTTTCATGAATAAAATCAAAATGTTATCATCTTTTAACTAAGAGGCATTTTGACTAAATGCTTTTCCATTCTTACTTGAGTAATCTTGTACATGACTACTTTTTACCTCCACTTTAGTAAAAATGTGTTGAAATAATGCTTAACTTTCTGAATTTGACTGAGTTGAAACTATTTTGCAAGAATCAAGAGTTGAATTGTATGTTTAGATGCAAACAGCTGGAAGAGATTGATCTCCATAAGCTTTCCAAGCCAAGAAAAATTAGGTTGTAAAAGATAAAAGCCATACCTAACCATCTTGTTCTTTTCATTTTATAAGGGGCAATCCTTTTTTTTTGTGGGTCTATCACATTATATTACTGTAAATAACATATTTTTTTATGTAATGACAGAAAAAAATCTAAAACCCCAAAGGTATAAATAATAGTAAAAGATACCAAAAATAAAATAAGAAGATTTTAGCTTCCAGTTTTTTAGTTTAAGCTGTTCCATAAAATGATGATCTTTCTTTTCCCATGCAGGTTTCCCCTCCCCACCTGGAGGTCCCACACCAGCCACCGTTTGTCTAATTCCTTAAGTTACACCATGTTGACTTTAAGCCTTGAGAAAAAACACTACTCCATGAGTAACAGAGGAGGAAAACGATCTCTCACAGACACCCATGTGAAAGGATGATCAAAGTCAGGTCACACCTGAGCAATGGTCTCAGTCCATGGTAGCAGATATCTTTATTAGCTACAGCTGCCATAGTTTAAATTGTTTTTAATTGTGAAATATGCAGCCATTTGACACTATATAAATATTTATGATCCTACCTGTTGCTATGATGAAACACCACAGGAAGCTGGTAACCTTTCTGTTCTCGTGTTCAGGTTATGTGACTCTTTAAGCTTCCTGCTGAGTTGGATCACATTCGCTCAGCCAAACCGTGTGAACACACCAGCAATTTATTATGACTTTTTAAAAAACAAAACATGCTGGACTGGTTCTTTTTTTTTTTTTTTTTTTTAACATTCTTTATTTAAAATTATAATAAATCCAACATATATACATATGTATATGTAACTACAAACAATGTAAAACCCAAGAAGAGGAAAAAATATATAAAAAGGGGGTGGTTCAGCAAACATTCAGCTCTGTTTTGCTAATTGACCGTTCTTAGCAGGGTCTTTGTGGGCTCACATAGACGGGAGGTGTACTGGTCCAACGTCTACCATAAAAGTGGAGAGATACCATAGAATAGAATTTAATAGAATTCAACTTTATTATCATTGTACTTTGATGAGTACAAAGCAACGAAATGTGGTTTGCATCTATCCAGAAGTGCTATACAGGATATAAATATTATTACAGGTGTATGTACAAGCAAAAATTAATAGTTAGGGACTGTAAAAAGTTATGCATAAATATAAATATGAATATGGGAGCTACATGCACAGATTATACAGATTATACAGAATATACAGGAATACATACATACAATGAGGGCTAACATGTTTTTTTTTTTTTTTTAGCCTATTGCGTATCCCTGTGGCGATCCAAAGCAGGCGAAAGGCGGGGCCCACACTCCCAAGAATATGTCAATTTTCACATGCAGATTTACTGTTATCCTCTCCATTACATACACATTCTTCCATCTTTCTTGCCATTGTTGAAGGGTTGGGGGGAAAGGCTTAAGCCAAGAAAGACTTATCATTCTCTTTGCTACTAATAGCAGAATATGTCATAACTGGGCTTTCCTCTTCTCATTATTTTCTCAATATATATAGTACAACGGGTTCAGTGGTAACGTAAAATCAAGTATTCGTTTAATTTCTGTCTGAATCCCTTGCCAAAATGGAATCAGTACTGGACAGTCCCAAAAGATGTGAGTGTAGTCCCCTATCTGATTCCAGTTCCTCCAGCATAAGTTTGAGGCATTTCTGTTGTATTTGAAATACTGGAAGGTATTTTAGAAAATTAATTTCCAGTTGAATTCTTTCCATGCTGGGCTGTGGGTAATCTTAAAACCTTTGTCTGAAATCTCCTCCCATTCCTCATCTTCAATAACGATGTTCTTTTTTGGTTCCCACTTTTGCTTTGTATCTGTAGAGCTGTCAGAGATACAATTATTATATTTTACAATTATTTCTGATAAAATGTGTAGTAATGTCTCTGTAAATTCTTTTTATCATTTTCCTCTACACATTTTATCAGAAATAATTCCAAAGATAGTGTATTCTGCTTCAAAGTAAGCCATTATTTGTGTGATAAGAAGTAAGTACTTATAGAAGTCTTTTGAATGTAAACCGTATTTATCTTGGAGTTGTTTAAACGATTTAGGGGTTTTGGTCTAGAATCACTTAAGTGATCTCAGTCTCCCTCGTCAGATCTTCCTTTTTCACAAGGTGACCATCATCCACCCTGAGGACTTCACCCAGTGCACAACATGGGGAAGCTTTGCCACTCGCTGGCATGAGACGGCCTACAACATGTTCACCTTTTCCTGCCTGTTCCTGCTGCCGCTGGTCATCATGATCACCTGTTACGCCAGGATCTTCCATGAGATTTCAAAACGGCTGAAAAAAGACCACTGTAAGTCTGTAGTCTTAGATCAGTGGATCATTGTAGTTCCAACAAAAAGTTTATAAAGCAACACCTCCGGCTTCCAGTATAGAGCTACAAATAGATAGATTTAGCAGTTGGATAGAAATTATTTTATTTTTACCGACCATAAA